ACCAGCACCCTGCAGCAAGCCTGATACGGTCGTGCAGAGCCCCCATGGAAGGTTGAGAGGATGTGGGACAGGAAGGTGTTACTGACTTGTCCCATGCACCTGACCACAATGCCAGCGCCCACAGCAAGAAAAGCTTCTCCATGGAGCCCATCCTCCACATTCCCCAGGTGCTCGGCCTTGTAGTACAGCCCGGGGGACACCAGCAGCTGGGCAGGAGCTGAGGATTCAGGTAGGGATGGGTCCATGGTGGAGATCCAGAGATCCCTCATTTGCAGCCTGCCCAGGGCTCGTGAGCCAGCAGGACCCCCCCTCGCTTGCTCCCTGTTGGCAGAGGGACCTTTGCTACCCTGGGCTTCCAATGGCGTGAGGCTGTGTTGTCCCCAGGCACAGAGGCCACAACTGCTCCACCCTGGTGATGGTAAAGCAGTGCTGGCTCCTTACGGAAGGACAAAGGGAGGCAAAGGGGATGTGGCAGCTCACGTGGTGTCAAGGCACCCTGCTTAAGCAGCACAACGCAGCTTCCCCATGTTGCCCGCATCCTGCCCCTTCGTACCTTCTCACTGCTGAAGTACATCAGGTTCTTCCCGTCGAAGCGGACGTAGCGCCTCTGGAAGACATAGTTCCTGTTGGGATGGCAGAAAAACAGGGCTGTTGGGAAGGGGACAATTCCCCCAAGGACCCCACATCTGCTCACAGACACCCCTTTCCCCCAAGGATGGCTGCACAGAGACCCTTGCAGCACAGCTGGGGCACCCAAGAGGGTCTTTCTCCTGTGGGGTCCCAGTAGCATGGTGACCAGTGTGGTCACCTCACCAGCCTTCCCCAAGGGGGCTTTACTTATGGGCATTATCCCATGGGTGGGCACGTACCCCTGTGGGGAGAGCTTGTCCAGCCAGCCACTGAGCATGGTGGGTCGGGGCTCGGAGAGTGATGTGAAGCTGGCGTAAGGGGAGATGGTGAGGTCATCCAGGACCTCGTCGGGGTAGAGATGGGCTGGCAGGCTGAATGGGGTGCCCTCAGCCTGTGGTGCCTCCACGGTGGAGTAGCCCTCTGTGTCGTTCTGGATGATGCAGTTGATAAGCCGGGACCGGGTCTCCTCGTCCTCGCTCCTTCCCTCGCTGCTGCACTCGCTGCTTGTCCTGTGAGAAACAGGGCTGTGAGGGAGCCTGGCTGCGGCAGCGCGGCTACTCACTGTGCGAGGTTCTGGTCAACGCCATCCCTTGTCGGGATGTCTTGCACTGCTCCCGGCCCCATCCAGAGCTCCCTGGAGCACCCAGTGATGTGGGTGTTTGTGTCTCCATGAGCACGGTGGGACAAAGGCTCAGCAGTCCTGAGCCAGCAGCTCGAGGCTCAGCCAGTCCTACATGATGGCATGTGGGTAGCTGGCAAAACGGACTTCCCCACCTTGGTAATACCACACGGGCCACCACACATCTCCAAACCCCTGGCATCACCTCCTTCACTTCTTCACTCCACAGGCAGCAAACCAAAGCCAGGCATCTCCCCAGGCCCATGTCCTGCTTTCTGCTTTACACCCACCCTGCTACCTCCTCTCCAGGGGTCTCAGACCGCCCTCTCCCTCTACACCTCCAGTGTTCACAGCACCGGGAAGGTCCTCCTGCCACGACACCCTCTTGCCTGCTCTTGAGTCCGGATGAAATGTTTTGCAAAGGGATTGGGATGGACAGATGGGCCGGTGGAGCTCCTGCATCCATCTCCTTTTCTTGGGAAGCCATGCTAAAACCCCCAGCCAGGCCTGGTGAGACTATCCAGCCGTAACAATAGAAGGAAATGACAAAAATAAACTGCTAAGCTTGCCCCTTCCTCTCAGGCCTCTCAGCCAGACATTTTTCTTTCCCTGGAAAGGAAATGTGCTGGAAGATGTCTGACGGTACCGGGAGCTCACAGGGGAGCTGCCCAGCTGCAATGGTGATGGGCAGGAGGAGAATCATGGCAGCTGGGACACCCCAGCACCAGCAGGAGAGCCCCCGTGCCAGTGGGTCACTCATGGCATCCAGTGCCAGGATGAACAAAAGGCTCCAAGAAAGACAATGAGTATGGTTCAACTCCCCTCAGAGCTTCTGTCTAAGGAGCATCTGAGCAAGCTGGGCATCTCCAGTGGGGAAAGGGTGAGTGGTGGGGGCAGGTTTCTGAAGTCGTGAGCAGCGTGAGGAGGGCAGAAAGGCATCCCCTGGCCACCACTGCTTCAGTCACAGGAGCTGTGTGACATTAGATAAAGCCAGCAGGAGCCAGGTGCAGAACCACATGGGAAAGGTGGGGCTGATCTGTGGGACTCCTCACCATAGGATGTTGTAGAAGGAGAAATTTATGGAGCAGAAACCCACTGGGGGGTACTGAATAAGAGAAACCACCTCCAGCACAAGCCCATGTGCTAGAAATGCTTTTGGACTACGAGAAGGATGCCAAACACCTCCCCTCATGATCAATTCTCCAAACACCTGGTTTTGAGCAGTGCCTCATTGTAGGAGCCAAGGCAGGGCATGAACCTGTGCTTTAATCCTGGACAGGCACCTTATGAGGCCATTGGACATCAGATGTCCCTGAGCCATGTGGGGCAGAAGCAAGATGTGAAGTCTGCCTGGGAGAATGTTGGGCTGGAGCTGCCTAGGCTAGGGGTCAGCTCTGGAGAAGTGGGATCGTGTATGGGGCTGAGGAGGTGGATGGAGAGGGAAAATACGCCTGTTTGGCTCCAGTGGCTGCAAGAAAGACAAGAAAAGGCCGTAGGCAGCTTGGAGGCTCGGAGCACAACGAAAATTGCTGTTTAATTAGCATAACAGCCTTGGCAGGGTGATTCATCTGGCTGGAGTCCCAGCCCAGTGTCCAGCTTCTTCAGGAGGGGCTGGCCAGGGAGTGGGGTGGCTGGAGGACTCTGTATGTCATAGGAGGACATCAGCCTTGAGTGCCAGAGCAAAGTGGGAGACAGACCCTCTGAATGGGTCAGGGCAAGAGAAAAAGGGGAAAAAATCCGTGACAGCCCCTTCCTGAGCCATGATTTACAGCCACTGGAACCACAAAGAGCTGGAGGTCAAGCAGCATCTGGCAGGGACAAGCAAAGCCCATGGCCCATCTGGAGTGGGGTCTGTCAGCATCCCAGGAGCACACCAATACCCAGGCCAGCTCCCAGCTCTGTCCTTGAGGACAGGGTTGGGGGAGGAAGCCTGCAGGGAACAACTCTGCAAAGGCCAACTTATCTCCTTTTTCAGCTGGTGTCAGGCAGTGAAGACAACTAACCTTAGGGCCAAATGAGTCTCCAGGGCAAGGAGAGGGTATTTCCAGGTCAGCTAAGCCTGGTGAGTGATGCCTGAGATGCACCGAGTTGGGGCAGTCTCAGCCTGTCAGTGCTCACATGGAAGAGCTGGTGGAGAATGGAGGATGGGTGATGGAAGAAAGGGATCTGCTGGTGGTGAGGGGACCGTGGAGCTGCTGTTGGACCTGGTTACTTCAACTGGGTGTCATGGGCCAGACATTCAACCTGGAGGTAGGTAGGAAGATAAGGAATATGCTGTCAAGGACACATCATTCCCAGTGTTTCTTTTCTCGCAGGGAAGATCCCTTGAGGTGTGGGGAGAAGCAGTCTTGGCAGGTATCTGCCTGAGGATCATCTTATCGCAGGTCTTGGCACAAACCAGGGCAGGGTCCACCGTCCTCACCATGATGCCTGATGAGTCACTGTCTGACCCAGTCCCTCGAGCTCCATGGGGTGACACGGGCACTGCTGTGCCACTGTCTCTGTCCTGTTAAGACTGATGTCTGAAGTAGGGCTGATGCTGTCCTCCGCACCAGCATTTTCGGGGGGCTGAGCATCAACAGCTTGCCTGCAAGTGGTCAGTGTCAGAGCAGGTGAATCCCACCCTGTGGTCTAGGCTCTGCTGGACCCTCAGAGACACAGCTGCCAGTTCTAAGGGGAATTTCACGTTCCTCTTCCTCTTTGCTGAGGACATCTCATTGCTGGCCGAGGAGGCTCTGCCCATCTCTGACACTGATACTCACTGCCCAGACTCCAAGCCAGTGAGCAGCATGAAACTTTCCCAGGTGAAACTCTCCCAGAATAGGGTGAGAGGAGGTGTCTCAGGTCGGAGGAAGATATTGTACCAAAGGGGCAGGAGGGCATCTCTGAAGTTTGAGAGTGGGAAATATTCCCATAATGAATGGGTTGGTGGGCTGTAGGAGATACTCGTGTTGTCCCCAGTGACCAGGTGCCAGTCAGCAGGATGAGGAACTGGCTGAACTGGAGAAACACCAGTGCTGAAGAGGAGGATCGGGTGGTCCCACAGTCAGGGTCAGGGGCCAGGGCTGGCCAGCAGTGGCTCAGCTGCTGAGCAGGAGCCCATAGCTCTGCTCCAGAGGGATCACAGTCGGAGCAGTGGGGCTGGTCTGGGCAGGAAAGCATTGGAGCAGCTGGCCGACAGGGTCCATGAGGACAATGCACAAGGTCTTCAAAGGCTTTTCTGTCTCTTGTTCAAGTCCCCACACCCCAACCACCTTAGTGCTCAGGATGGGAGAAAAAACCCCTGTGAACTGGTGCCTCTGACACTCTGCTGACAGTCACATCCTGTCTCTTCTCAGCAAGACCAGGCTGCAAAGTCCCTGGCGGGTCCAGGGCTGCAGGGGACTGTCCGATTCCCTTGGGATGCTCTGGATGCCAGCTCCCTGGAAGCCACTGGATGGAGACCATGATCCACGAGCCAGCACCCAGCCACGCTCTGAACTGCTGGTTCAGAGGCTCCATGGCAGATTTTAGTATTTCTGTTTACAAAACTCCTGTTCCCAGGTATTTGAAGTTCCCTGACCATGGCCTGTATTTGCTCTCATCTGTCTGTGACATCTGCCTGCCTGTGCCACTGGGTAAGGCCACACTGCGGTGACTCTCACCCAGAGCAGGAGATGAGCTGGGCCGACCAACACCGTGGCCAGAAAGGCATGGTCATGGGGATGCACTGGCCGGCAAGGCCATGGGCAGAGCCGAAGGACACAGAGCTGCAGCTCACCTCCTCCCCTCTAAGCAACACAGGAAAAGGAACCCTCCCCTTCTGAAATGGGAAGAGCAGCTTTCCTTCCTCTTTCTGAGATGCTATCAGGAGCGATGGAAAGTACATTTCAAAAGCATTTTAAAGGTGCCCCTCACAATCTTGTTGTCCACCACAGTGTGACAGCTCAGCAAATGCTGATTTGATGATGCTGGAGCCTTTGGAGGTCGCACATCCCTTCAGCTGGAGCTTGGAGCCGTCCCATTTCTGAACAATCCCTGTCCCCCATGCTGTTTCCCTGCTCCCAGTAGCCAAATCCAGGCTCTTCCCAGTGTGCACGTGCCCAGTGCCACTGGCACTGCCCCAGCTGTGCTCCCAGAGCATCTGTCAGCAAGCACTGTCCACCCAGGGGTCAATCATTATTCTCATCTCTGAGCCCATTGCCTCTTCTTGAGACTGCTGACCTGCTCCCAGGTGCTCCTGTTCGGCTCTATGGTGTGGGAAAGGCCTCCTCCACCTCTCAGGCTGCCCCCAGAGGTGTCCCCTGTCCCCCTGGCACGCAAACCCTGGACCCCAAGCTCAGCGCAGCCCCTTCAGCCCGGAGGAGGTGATGCCTACCTGCACGCTTCTCGCTCCGGGTCCAGCTCGGACACTGCCTTGTAGCTCTGGTCGGAGGAGGCGCCAACACCCTGGGAGGAGAGATTGGTGACATCTCCTCTCCCCTCTGCCCTCTCCCATCCCAGACCTCTTCAGCCTGCCTGGCCCACTGCATGGGGGGCTCAGCCTGTGACCACCACCCCAGCAGTGATGCTCAGCCAGGCGCTGCCGGGCACCATTGTCTCACCAGCTGCAGGTCCCTATTTTGCAGCAGCTGGTGGGATGCAGAGTGACAGCAGGGGACAGCCACCGTCCCCACAGTCTCCTCTCACCTTCTCCTCCTGGGATGGGGCTACATGCCCAAAGATGGTCTCGCTGTAGGGGCTGATGGGCTGCTCACAGACCTCTGTCGGCAGAGACAAGGGAGGGAAAGGCAGTCAGCGGTGCCTGCTGCAGGGCAGCGACCAGACAGGACTGCCAACCCTGGAGGGGGACCCCCCCACTGAGCCCACCACAGTGCACCCCAACATCCAGGACATCTGGCATAACAGAGATGTCAGCCCAAATAAGGGTGGGGCTGGGCGCTGCCTCAGCTCAGGGCCACCCCGGTCCCTGAGCGAGGCAGGAGCATGGGGCAGGACCTGGGGGAAAGGGAGGATGTGCAGGTGTCCCCCTCACCCCCCTTCCCTGGGGGCCCAGACATCCCTGCTGCACACCAGTGCCCTCGGGGCTCTCACCTGTCTTGCCGGGGGGTCTCTGTGGGATGGGGGGCAGGTGACCCCCGGGCCAGCCGGGACTCCTGGAAAACAGGAGAGAGGTTACTGCGGCTGCAGCTGGGACAGAGTGGGAGCCTGTAGGGTTTTTCCACCTTGTTTTCCCATCTGGCTTACATGGGCTGCGCCTGACCAGGGCTGAACCTGGCTTTGTCCTCCAGGATGGGCAGCATCCCCTCCC